CGCTTCGATTACGTCGTGAAGATTTGGAATCCACACAGGCCAATACGACGAACGCGTTCGGCTTGCTGCGGTCGCCGTGGAACGCGTCGCCGGTGCCGTTCCTCGCGCGGTCGACGTCGACCCTGGGCCTCCGGGGCAACGGCTACGGCACGTTCCCGACCTGCGCCATGTTCGCGAGCGTGCTGCGCGACGGGAAGCTCTCGACGATTCTGAGAGGCGCGAACGGCCAGCTCCACGGGCCCGTGCACATCATGGTCGGCGGCCACTGGGGCGTCGACGACGCGTGGGCGGCGTACCTGTCGACCCAAAAGTCCAACGACTACTGGCTGCTGCTCTCCAAGTACCTCTGGCGCCAGGGCTACGTCGAGTGCCCGACGGCGTGTTCCGACGACGCGCCGAAGCGCGCGTGCGCGTGCGCGTGCCCCGCGCTCGACGCCGGCGACCTCGACGCGGCGACGATTTTGGTCGACTCCGACGTCGCGGACCTCGCGCCCCCCCAGGGCCAGTGGCTCGAGAAGCTGCGCCGCGAGACGAACTTCACGGAAGACGACGCGCTGCGGCTTTTGTGCGCCGTGGGCACGCCGGGCGAGCTCTTCACGTCGGCGGCGCCCCAGGACCCCCTCTTCTGGCCGCTCCACGGCAACGCGGAGCGTTTCCTCGCCTACGCGCGCGCGCTCGCGGCCGCCGGCGAGCTCGACCTCGACGAGACGTGGGCCTACGAGCACGCGCGGTCGCCGTCGGAGACGGGCGCGGTCTGCGCCTGGTCGGGGGACGGCCGGCCGGCCTGCGCGCCGGGCGCCTGCCCGGGCCACGGCCGCGACGACGTCCTGCCTTTTGATGGATTACCGGGCGGCCCGCTCACGAACGGCGGCTTCTACGACCTCACGCGGCCGGGCCACCCCGACCTGCCCTACGCCTACGACAGCCTCGCGTCCTGGCCCGCCTGCGCCGGCGCCTCGCTCCTCGACGAGGCGACGGACGACGCCTGGCGCTCCCACGGGCCCAACGCGGGGTAACCCTTAGTCGACGATGCGCATGATGGGGTGGCGCTCGATCTCCTGCATCTGCCGCAGGAGGCGCGCCGTGTCGTAGCGGAGCTTCTGGAACTGGTCCACGTCCATCTCGAAGGTCTTGATCGAACCGTCGCTGAGGCTCAGCTCGACCATGACGCTCGGCTTCATGATCTTGTCGAGCGACGACGTCGATATCGACACGTCGACGCGCCACTTCACGTTGGCGATGCGCGGGAAGAACTCGGGCCGCGCGGGGTCGCGGCCCGGGCACGCCGCGGCGCGGGCCCGGACGGCGGCCTCGTTCTCCTTCACCCAGGCGATGTCCGCGGCGTCGCGCAGGCCGCCCCTGAGCGTCGCGAGGGCCGCGAGGCTCGCGTCGAACTGGCCCGTCGTGCACGCCTGCCGCGCCTCCGCCGCGAGGGCGCACTTCTTCTCCATCGCGCGCGCCTTTCGGGGGCGGCGGCGCGGGCCGCGGCGCGGCGGCCTCGAGAGCGGGCAGCCTCTCGGTCTGCGGCACCTTTGAGGGAAAGATGCCGTTCATCGCGTAATTCGAACGTAAGAAGAAGACAAGAACTCAAAATGCAGCCCATGCCCAGCGGGCCGCCCCCGTCGCCGTCGCAGCGGCGGGGACCGCTGGAGGCCTTCTTCCAGCAGGCGGCGTCGACGGGCTTCGCCCTCTTCATCCTCCCGGGAGGGCCGGTCGTCTTTTGGACCCTCTTCCTCTGGCTGGCGTCGAGCCGCTGCCTCGCCCTGCGTGCCCTCGTCCTGGCCTACGGCGTCTGGATGTGGTTCTTCGACACGGCGCGCCTGAGCGGCGAGCGGTCGTCGCGGAGCGTCCGCGGCTGGCGCGTCTGGCGCCTCCTGGCGGCCTATTTTCCCGCGAGCCTCCACGCGACGGCGGCGCTGCCACCGGGCGG